ATTACCAAAAGGTAAAAGATAACAAACCTCCTGACAATACTCCTCTCAAACTCTTGATAGAACAGGATTACCATAAGGTAAAAGATAACCAACCTCCTGTCAATACGCCTATCAAACTCCTGATAGAACAGGGTTACCATAAGGTAAAAGATAACCAACATCCTGTCAATACTCCTCTCAAACTCTTGATAGAACAGGATTACCAAAAGGTAAAAGATAACAAACCTCCTGACAATACTCCTCTCAAACTCTTGATAGAACAGGATTACCATAAGGTAAAAGATAACCAACCTCCTGTCAATACGCCTATCAAACTCCTGATAGAACAGGGTTACCATAAGGTAAAAGATAACCAACATCCTGTCAATACTCCTCTCAAACTCTTGGTAGAACAGGGTTACCATAAGGTAAAAGATAACCAACATCCTGTCAATACTCCTCTCAAACTCCTTATAGAACAGAGTTAGCATAAGGTAAAAGATAACCAACATCCTGTCAATACTCCTCTCAAACTCCTGATAAAACAGAGTTAGCATAAGGTAATAACCAACCTCCTGTAAATACTCCTCTCAAACTCTTGGTAGAACAGGGTTACCATAAGGTAAAAGATAACCAACATCCTGTCAATACTCCTCTCAAACTTCTGATAGAATAGGGTTATCATAAGTTAAAAGATAACCAACCTCCTGTCAATACTCCTATCAAACTCCTGATAGAACAGGGTTACCATAAGGTAAAAGATAACCAACCTCCTGTCAATACTCCTCTCAAACTCTTGATAGAACAGGATTACCATAAGGTAAAAGATAACCAACCTCCTGTCAATACTCCTATCAAACTCATGATAGAACAGGGTTACCATAAGGTAAAAGATAACCAACCTCCTGTCAATACTCCTATCAAACTCCTGATAGAACAGGGTTACCATAAGGTAAAAGATAACCAACATCCTGTCAATACTCCTCTCAAACTCTTGATAGAACAGGATTACCATAAGGTAAAAGATAACCAACCTCCTGTCAATACGCCTATCAAACTCCTGATAGAACAGGGTTACCATAAGGTAAAAGATAACCAACATCCTGTCAATACTCCTCTCAAACTCTTGATAGAACAGGATTACCAAAAGGTAAAAGATAACAAACCTCCTGACAATACTCCTCTCAAACTCTTGATAGAACAGGATTACCATAAGGTAAAAGATAACCAACCTCCTGTCAATACGCCTATCAAACTCCTGATAGAACAGGGTTACCATAAGGTAAAAGATAACCAACATCCTGTCAATACTCCTCTCAAACTCCTGATAGAACAGAGTTAGCTAAAGGTAATAACCAACCTCCTGTCAATACTCCTCTCAAACTCCTGATAGAACAGGGTTATCATAAGGTAAAAGATAACCAACATCCTGTCAATACTCCTCTCAAACTCCTGATAGAACAGGGTTACCATAAGGTAAAAGATAACCAACATCCTGTCAATACTCCTCTCAAACTGCTGATAGAACAGGGTTATCATAAGGTAAAAGATAACCAACATTCTGTCAATACTCCTCTCAAACTCTTGATAGAACAGGGTTACCATTAGGTAAAAGATAACCAACCTCCTGTCAATACTCCTCTCAAACTCTTGGTAGAACAGGGTTACCATCAGGTAAAAGATAACCAACATCCTGTCAATACTCCTCTCAAACTCCTGATAGAACAGAGTTAGCATCAGGTAAAAGATAACCAACATCCTGTCAATACTCCTCTCAAACTCCTGATAGAACAGAGTTAGCATAAGGTAATAACCAACCTCCTGTAAATACTCCTCTCAAACTCTTGGTAAAACAGGGTTACCATAAGGTAAAAGATAACCAACATCCTGTCAATACTCCTCTCAAACTCCTGATAGAATAGGGTTATCATAAGTTAAAAGATAACCAACCTCCTGTCAATACTCCTATCAAACTCCTGATAGAACAGGGTTACCATAAGGTAAAAGATAACCAACCTCCTGTCAATACTCCTCTCAAACTCTTGATAGAACAGGATTATCATAAGGTAAAAGATAACCAACCTCCTGTCAATACTCCTATCAAACTCCTGATAGAACAGGGTTACCATAAGGTAAAAGATAACCAACCTCCTGTCAATACTCTTATCAAACTCCTGATAGAACAGGGTTACCATAAGGTAAAAGATAACCAACCTCCTGTCAATACTCCTCTCAAACTCTTGATAGAACAGGATTACCATAAGGTAAAAGATAACCAACATCCTGTCAATACGCCTATCAAACTCCTGATAGAACAAGGTTACCATAAGGTAAAAGATAACCAACATCCTGTTAATACTCCTCTCAAACTCTTGATAGAACAGGATTACCAAAAGGTAAAAGATAACAAACCTCCTGTCAATACTCCTCTCAAACTCTTGATAGAACAGGATTACCATAAGGTAAAAGATAACCAACCTCCTGTCAATACGCCTATCAAACTCCTGATAGAACAGGGTTACCATAAGGTAAAAGATAACCAACATCCTGTCAATACTCCTCTCAAACTCCTGATAGAACAGAGTTAGCATAAGGTAATAACCAACCTCCTGTCAATACTCCTCTCAAACTCCTGATAGAACAGGGTTACCATAAGGTAAAAGATAACCAACATCCTGTCAATACTCCTCTCAAACTCCTGATAGAACAGGGTTATCATTAGGTAAAAGATAACCAACATTCTGTCAATACTCCTCTCAAACTCTTGATAGAACAGGATTACCATAAGGTAAAAGATAACCAACCTCCTGTCAATACTCCTCTCAAACTCTTGGTAGAACAGGGTTACCATAAGGTAAAAGATAACCAACATCCTGTCAATACTCCTCTCAAACTCCTGATAGAACAGAGTTAGCATAAGGTAAAAGATAACCAACATCCTGTCAATACTCCTCTCAAACTCCTGATAGAACAGAGTTAGCATAAGGTAATAACCAACCTCCTGTAAATACTCCTCTCAAACTCTTGGTAGAACAGGGTTACCATAAGGTAAAAGATAACCAACATCCTGTCAATACTCCTCTCAAACTCCTGATAGAATAGGGTTATCATAAGTTAAAAGATAACCAACATCCTGTCAATACTCCTCTCAAACTCTTGATAGAACAGGATTACCAAAAGGTAAAAGATAACAAACCTCCTGACAATACTCCTCTCAAACTCTTGATAGAACAGGATTACCATAAGGTAAAAGATAACCAACCTCCTGTCAATACGCCTATCAAACTCCTGATAGAACAGGGTTACCATAAGGTAAAAGATAACCAACATCCTGTCAATACTCCTCTCAAACTCTTGATAGAACAGGATTACCAAAAGGTAAAAGATAACAAACCTCCTGACAATACTCCTCTCAAACTCTTGATAGAACAGGATTACCATAAGGTAAAAGATAACCAACCTCCTGTCAATACGCCTATCAAACTCCTGATAGAACAGGGTTACCATAAGGTAAAAGATAACCAACATCCTGTCAATACTCCTCTCAAACTCCTGATAGAACAGAGTTAGCTAAAGGTAATAACCAACCTCCTGTCAATACTCCTCTCAAACTCCTGATAGAACAGGGTTATCATAAGGTAAAAGATAACCAACATCCTGTCAATACTCCTCTCAAACTCCTGATAGAACAGGGTTACCATAAGGTAAAAGATAACCAACCTCCTGTCAATACTCCTCTCAAACTCTTGATAGAACAGGATTACCATAAGGTAAAAGATAACAAACCTCCTGTCAATACTCCTATCAAACTCCTGATAGAACAGGGTTACCATAAGGTAAAAGATAACCAACCTCCTGTCAATACTCCTATCAAACTCCTGATAGAACAGGGTTACCATAAGGTAAAAGATAACCAACCTCCTGTCAATACTCCTCTCAAACTCTTGATAGAACAGGATTACCATAAGGTAAAAGATAACCAACCTCCTGTCAATACGCCTATCAAACTCCTGATAGAACAGGGTTACCATAAGGTAAAAGATAACTAACATCCTGTCAATACTCCTCTCAAACTCTTGATAGAACAGGATTACCAAAAGGTAAAAGATAACAAACCTCCTGACAATACTCCTCTCAAACTCTTGATAGAACAGGATTACCATAAGGTAAAAGATAACCAACCTCCTGTCAATACGCCTATCAAACTCCTGATAGAACAGGGTTACCATAAGGTAAAAGATAACCAACATCCTGTCAATACTCCTCTCAAACTCCTGATAGAACAGAGTTAGCATAAGGTAATAACCAACCTCCTGTCAATACTCCTCTCAAACTCCTGATAGAACAGGGTTACCATAAGGTAAAAGATAACCAACATCCTGTCAATACTCCTCTCAAACTCCTGATAGAACAGGGTTACCATAAGGTAAAAGATAACCAACATCCTGTCAATACTCCTCTCAAACTCCTGATAGAACAGGGTTACCATAAGGTAAAAGATAACCAACATCCTGTCAATACTCCTCTCAAACTCCTGATAGAACAGGGTTATCATAAGGTAAAAGATAACCAACATTCTGTCAATACTCCTCTCAAACTCCTGATAGAACAGGGTTACCATAAGGTAAAAGATAACCAACCTCCTGTCAATACTCCTCTCAAACTCCTGATAGAACAGGGTTACCATAAGGTAAAAGATAACCAACATCATGTCAATACTCCTCTCAAACTCTTGGTAGAACAGGGTTACCATAAGGTAAAAGATAACCAACATCCTGTCAATACTCCTCTCAAACTCCTGATAGAACAGGGTTACCATAAGGTAAAAGATAACCAACCTCCTGTCAATACTCCTCTCAAACTCCTGATAGAACAGGGTTACCATAAGGTGAAAGATAACCAACATCCTGCCAATACTCTTCTCAAACAATAGATGTTCAAACAAAGACAAAGAAAAACTAAGTATTCATGTTGAGAAGATTTGAAAGACCATAAGTGTTCTTTTATATACAGAAAATAAGTAGGATTTATAATTGATTTTTATTTTCAATATTATAACAATACAGTCACTGAAATTCATACAAGCATCCACACAATATGTGAATGCAATAGTTACATAAAAACACATTTCTGACAAAATGGAACTGTAATATCTACTGAATTAAACATACTCTTTGCTTCAGACTTGATTCAAAAAGACTTTTGTTGAAATCAAATCATGGGGTAATTCATTAAATATATTTTAATCTGCAAATTCCGCAAATAAAACTTACTGTTGTTTGTTCTGTTCATTTACAAAATAATGGGATCTTAAAATTAGTTTTTCAGATAACATTAGGTTTTTGTATAAAACATTCAAATTTCTTAAATCTGTACAAAAATTAATAATAACATAATAAGTTATTGAATGCTTGTTGCTACAACAAGCAAGTGTAATTTTACAAAAAAATAAAAATAAAACTTAAATGTGGAAGCTGTACAGAGACTGTTTTCCATTGACATTTACAGCACTGTAATCTATGCAAATATGTGGAATTTACAATACTTAACAACAAGACACAATACAGAATAATTTACATTTCCTAAATTTGACTACTCAACACTTAAATGCCTCCTTACCTATTAAAAACAAGAATGTGTGTCCATGCCATGCTTGCACTATCAAAATTACCTTGTCCAGTGAACCATGAAATATGGGTCGAACCCTAATTTGGCATACATTTTAAAATCTTAACATCTTATAGAACACCTGTATTACCTTTTAAGTTGATATGACCACAAATTCACGGAAAACTGAAATAGACAAACAGTTTAAACTTAGAGGAGGAATGCAATGACAAAAAGCCATGAAACCATAACGCTACTATTGTAGGCTAGGCATAAAAACAAGATTTAGATTTCAAAATTGTTTTCCTTAAATACATAACTAAATAGTCTGTAAAATACTTAAAAAAAATAGACAAGATTATTGATATCAGAAAAAATCAGTATGTTATAGAAAAATAGGATTTTTTCTAAATTTAAGTAAAGGAGAAAGTATGATGATAAGGCCACTTTTTGGACCCTTGAAATTATTATAAATCTACCAAATATTATCTTTCAGATGAGCATAAGACTCCTGTTTTTATATTTTTAAATTTTGTCTTACACATTGGTATTAGAGCTTCAAACTTCTTACATTTAGCATAAAACAGCAATAACTGCCAAAATAGCCTCATTTCAAAATATAGTTGTTAATATTAAGATATGAGCATTATCTTTACCAAAAAAGATATTTTGCTACACCATGTATTTTATTCAAAGATGTTTATGTTTGTAAAATATCTTTTTTGGGAAAAGCTGTTTCTCATAGTTTGACTCAAAATTGTGGGTGAAACGCCCATTTTAATTCAAATGCGTAACTTTTAACATGTTTATGATGTCACAGTGACTTCAAAAGTGACATCTTTGCTCTAGAGTGTCCCGATTGTATTAACCTGTTCATTTATAAATAACATTAACATAATTTTGAAAGGCTTGAATAATTTAACTATTTTGACAATTTCAGGGGCCAAATAATGGCTCTTTCCATACCTCCTCCTTTAAAATAAAGAGGGGAAAATCATGTCTCTAAACATGTTGCTAAGATATCTTTGTTTTCAAAGTAAAAATATTCATACTCATACAATACCCACATCTCCTTTTATTCATATTTTTATATACAGCTACTAACTTATTATTGTCCAATGTAATATCTCACACACTAAAACTTGCATATACATTTGCACATCATGACTCACATATCACACAAGTGTTCCATTCATGTATTCCAATGAGAATGACAAGAGATATGTTTCTATTTTGATATATGTTGGTGGTTTATTTATTATAATTCTGATAACATCAATGGTGATTTAATGGCATATAACATTCACACTTAAAAATCAGTCAAAATTCTAATTCATTTTTTTTTATCTATTTTTTTCTGAAATTACCAAATGTTTTATAGGTATCATCACTACAGTATTTTCTTCTTTTTTTATGAAAGCTACATCAAATTCAAAGCACTATTTTATACACAACATTTTATAGTAAATGTCCATGTTTATCCAATTATTAATGTTTATTTCTAAAAAATAGTTCACTATCTAATACGAACAAGAAATTAAATATATTAGAAGTCTAAACAATTGATGATATTTTTTTACAATGATGTATGTTTCTAGTTCACTAATAAATACAATCCCGTTATCAAATATAACAGGAGAGGCTAAACAATTGAGGACTTTTTAAAACCATGTAGAAAAAACCTGATATACAGCTTATAGGTCATATCTTAAGAACATGCAACACTTCTTGAATGAAATCTATTTACAACTACACAAAGAATGCTTATAATTCTGAGATAAGTTCTTTAAAAAACAATGTACAGAAAAGCAAAGTGAGTGAGCAGTCTCTCTTCATACTGGCCTTATAAATATAGCTTATCTATGGTTATGAAAATAAGAGGAACTATCTAGACTACAATTTCCCTAAGTGTGATTGACCAAAGATAATCTATTTATAGCTATTTCTAATGTCAGTGTCACCATAATAACATAAGAAGATGTGGTATGATTGTCAATGAGACAACTATCCACCATCTATGATGTCAATAAACCTGACTGAGAAAACCAATCTCAGCTCAGCAGCTTGAGATGGAAAATTATCACATAAAAAAGAATATTCATTTAAATAGTTCTTAACAAATGTGCATTGGTACAGTTATGTTATTCATTTGAAATTTAATACAAATAAATAGATTTATTTTCTATTGTATCGTTAGTTACATGTCAACTATAAAGAACAAGCTTTTTTCCAAAACACCCACAAATAAAATTTCTTTTACAGTTTAAAAAGGAAAAAAAAAATATTATCAAGAAAGTTCTATGTACACGGTAACCTTAATACTACATGCAATTTCACAGCAATTCCTGAGACAAACTTAAGATTCAACAGCCTGTATTGTTGTAAATCATCGCATTACTTATGGCTAATACTTGGTACATGACGTACACATATTAGATCAAATGATAATTCTGTTTGTAACAAAAATTAGATTATCAAAAAATGACAAGAAGAATCTGGTTACTAGTTGGTACGAACATGAATGCTGCACGAAATTTCCTTTTTGTCAATTAGAACATATAGTAATCATGATATTAAATAGAATAATAACTGCTAGATTTTTAATTTCTCTGTTTTATTAATTTCAACCAGTCATGTGTATGCCACTGACTTAAATTATACTGACAGGAATTGCAATAAACAGCTGCGCCATGAGCGCATGATACGCCCGTCGCTTTTTCAAAGAATAATATTCCATAACTCCTAAATGTCATATCAGAAATTTATAAAAGAACTTAAGGGAGCTCACGTCAATAGAAATAAAGCAGTCACCAAAGTTTCATGAAAACTGCTCAAAGCACTTTTGAGTTATTGTCTGAAAAATGGAAAATCCCCCCTTTTTTAATGAATAAAACCCCATAACTCGGAAACGTAAAATCTAAAAATATAAATCGAAAGGCAGCTCATTTCAATAGATGTTTAGTTCATCAAAGTTTCATGAAAGCAGCATAAAGCATTTTTTGAGTTATTGTCCGAAAACTGGAAAATCCCCATTTTTTAATGAATAACACCCCATAACTCTGAAATGTAAAATCTAAAATTTATAAAAAACGAAAGGGAGCTCACGTCAACAAATATAAACAATTCACTAAAGTTTCATGCAAATTGGTTAAAGCGTTTTTGAGTTATTGTACGACAAGTGGATGACGGACGGACAACGTGTATACCGTAATACGTCCCGTAAACAGGCGTATAAAAATAGGTAGTTTTTTAAGGTTAAATTCTAAACATTAAAAAAGGACCAGACAATAAAAAAATGTTATATTTACAATTTACTACAATTATGTATTTACAATAATAAAATATCATTCAACAAAAGCACTTATTTTTTTTTCGTTCATACAAAAAGTAAAATGTTCATGACTCAAACAAATCATTTACCCTTTGACAGAGTTATAATCACAACAATGATACTCACATATCTTTTAAAAGGTGAACAAATTCAGTAACTGCACCATTTTTAATGTCTTTTTTGTGTTTTTTGATTTGGTCAACTATTTCCAATATAATATGTTAAAGTCATTTTATATAGATGTTTATTAATTTTCTTGCAATGACCAGTTAAGTATAAATTTACCTTGGGATTTTAAACATTTGTAAAGAAGTGATATCAATTTATGGTCATACTAGCTTAAGTACTGTCATAACTTATGACTTAAGGAGTATCAGTTAGGACAGAGCAGCCTTAAGACTTTTCACAATTAGAAGTTATTTTGAACTCCTTTTCCATGTAAGAACCATTTAATGTGGCACAATTATAAATCTCAAACTATCCATGTCTATTGTAACCTAATATCTCTTCTTACAAATAAATTTAAATTGTATTCCCAGGTAATACATATAGATATTACTTAATTATTATTGAAACAAGTTAAAAGTAACAGAACATTTAGATTCAAAGACATTTATGTAGAGTAAATTTCTACCATGTGCCACTTCGTAGCTAATTCTTACATTGTGTTGTTCTGTTTTTCATATTTACCTTTTATTTTACAAAATATAGCTTGTTCAACAAAGTTAATATGTGACCTTGAAAAAAATATATTGTGTCTCTGGTAACCTTGTCAATGAAAATGTTCACTAGTAAATAATAGCAATCAGAATACTTAATGACATATTGTATTTTGGCTTATAGATAAGTACTAAAGTATACAACTATCACCGTCTTTTTAGTTGATTTGTTATCCATTCTAATCCTTGGTATAATCTGAAAATGGAAAAAAAGTTGTTATATTCCAATGAACATGTCCTTTAGTTAGAGCAATAAAGGTCATATATTTGTTATATTCCAATGAACATGTCCTTTGGTTACAGCAATTAAGGTCATATATTTGTTATATTCCAATGAACATGTCCTTTGGTTAGAGCAATAAAGGTCATATATTTGTTATATTCCAATGAACATGTCCTTTAGTTAGAGCAATAAAGGTCATATATTTGTTATATTCCAATGAACATGTCCTTTGGTTAGAGCAATAGAGGTCATATATTTGTTATATTCCAATGAACATGTCCTTTGGTTAGAGCAATAAAGGTCATATATTTGTTATATTCCATTGAACATGTCCTTTAGTTAGAGCAATAAAGGTCATATATTTGCTGAACTAATGTTAACCTGCATGTTTTACAATATTTGGCTAATGTGTAATGCTATTGAAAAAGCAGATGTCTTAGGTCTAATTTTAATTATATATCAAAGGCATCGTAAAGCCAAGAATTTACTAACATAATTCAGTGAGATGACTTTAGCCTAAGTATAACACATATATTAATTTTGTTAATTGTTTTGTTATAAATTAGGCCATTAGTTTTCTCTTTTTGAATTGTTTCACATTTTTCATGTCAGGACCTTTTTTAGCAGACTATACAGTAAGAGTTTTTCTCGTTGTTGAAGGCCGTTCAGCGGTCTACAATTGCTTACTACCACTTCAGATTAACTCTGGTAGATACCTGGATAGTTGTTTCATTGGCAATCATACCACATCTCCTCATTTTATATCAAAATATTTTAATTGCTTCAGGAAAAATGTTTAAGAGGGAAGTGTAAAGCTCTTTTTTCAAAGCTACTTCATTATCATTTCCATTATATATTGACCTTTGATCTAAGTTCTTGTCATTGCGTTAAACTGATAATGTACTGTTGTTGGATTCACAGGCAAGTGAATAAACACATTCCCATTCAAATTTTGGTTAAAGAGGATAATAAAAATATATTTTTTATATGAATATTAGTTTTACAGAAAAAAATCTACCTGGGCTTTGCCATGTCAAAAGTCTGAATTAATATGGGATTTCATTTCCATACAACTAAAATTTAATAAAAATCCTAGATTTTTTAGAAAAAAACTAGATGTGCCAGAACAACACAAATGGCCCTGCTCTAAAAAAACAGAAGCTTTAAGCAATTTTTAGGAGTGGAAATTTGATAATGAAAGATTGACAAATTGTTGATAATTTTTACAAAAATTGACTCATAATTTTCTGCAAAAATTAGCAAAGCAGAACCGAACATACACTTGATCTGTAACACATCATAGTAGACTCACAAACTAAAAATCAGGTAACACATCATAGTAGACTCACAAACTAAAAATCAGGTAACACATCATAGTAGACTCACAAACTAAAAATCAGGCGTTTAGAAAAAAGTCAGTATAACTGTTATTTTCAAAGTCCAAAGCCTGTAATTTCAGCAAAAAACAGCGGAGTAGAACCAACTCATCATTCATAGTAGACTCACAAACTACAAATCAGCTCAACATCTGAAGGCTTTTAGAAAAAAGTCCATGACAGACAAGGTAAAACTATATGGCCCTGACCACTCAGTGGCGGGGCCATAAAAATGTTTTCTTCATATAAATTATACACAACATTTAGGAAATTTGTTGGGTCATCTTGCTAGTCTTTACTTTCCAAGATAGTCCAAGTAACCAAAAGATATAAATATTTTGCTGTGGATATTGACAATACACATAGAATATACATAGAATGGATTTAGATCTTACCCTTCCCCTGTGAGAGCACAGCAAGCTTGTATATGCCAAGGATGATCTTTGATTGATGTTAAGTTGAGATGCTGAGAAATTTCTGCTGCAGACATTGAACCTTTGATATCTTGTTTATTAGCATAAACTAATACTGCAGATTTTCTTAGGTCCTGAAAGACAAACAATATTCCTTTAGTGTTCCCAGTCAGGTAAACTCCTATAGAAATTACTGCTTCCAGTAAATGCTACAGAATAAAATATAGCTTAACACAGAAACTTAAATATTGCTTAAGGTGGTACATAACACTACAGGGAGATAACTCTGTAAAATTCAGCTGAACGTTTTAATCACGTTCTATAGTTAAGGAAAAACAAAGCTTCTCAATAATCAAAATAAGTGTTTGTCAAACTGTTATATATCCAATGAAATTTTTACGATAAAGTGTGTGGTTCAAGTTTTTTGAAATTTTTATATTTCTGTCAAAGGGTCAAAGTAAATATTTGTCAAAATTCTATGAAAATTAAAGGAGCTAAATTAATTTTAGTCAAGGTGTTTGGTACCACCTTTACACAGAGACTTGAGTCAGTCCATGGTAAGAGGTACAAAATTGCCACACAATTGATATTTGACATTTTTGTTTACATTGATTGTAACTATACTTGTGGATAATAATTAGATACCTCTACTTTTCTCAAACAAAGTCAGGTATTAGTTACAATTAATCTTTAATACTACATCACTATTTCAATTCATAATTGATATTTATCCAGGACTAGAAAACAGTAAATCTGTAGAAGAGCATTTTTTATTTTTCAGATAAAGAATTTTGATAAATCTATTCTGAAACAAATCATCACTTCAATCTTTGTTCACGCCATCTATGTAATGCCTCATTATAATCTATGTAATACATGACTAATAGTCTTCTCACCTGTACAGTATGTCAATAACTGATCATAAGTAAACACATTATAGTGGTCATTTATATAACTAAGACATGGTAGCAACATGTGGACCAAAGGGCTTATTGGACACACAAAGCTAATTATAAAACCAGTATATATAAAATTACATACAAATTTTCACTCAATTAACAACTGATTAAGGACTTATATTATATAAATGTAAGATTTAAAGTACTATTAGGTAAAATAGCAACAGTTTGTCTTATATAAATGTTAAATACCCAAATTATTGATTTCATACTTTTGATCTACAATAATCAGATATTGATAATTGACATATTGACATCTGTTTCACACTCAAACAAAACCCTCTGTATTATATTATCATGGCTGTGAGGGATGAATAATAAACCTCAATAAATGATAAAAGATAATCTTGACATGCTTTAAAATAAACATATTTTGAGTACTATATAATGACCTCTTGATCATATAGCACATCACATGTTTATACATCCTTGGCTTTTAAATTTTGGGTTTGTATACTCCTAATGAAGATAAATCCAATAAACTGCTTCGCTGAGCGCAGCTGGATACGCCCGCAGAGGTCCAACCCTGAACAGTTGGGGCAAAAATGGACACAATATTCAAGCTTGATACAGGTCTGAATTTGGCTGAATTTGGATTGTATTAAATATTTTACTTTTTAGGTTTCTGAATAAATTTAGTCAAAGAACTTGGAATTGGTTATAAGAAATGAATTTATATTCAATTAAAGATTTCTTGCTGTTGTGCAATACACTGTGCTGTTGCGCAATACTTCGTAAATCTGTTGTCAGACTATAAACAAATAAATTTCAACTAATTCTCAACGTCATATTAGAAATTTATGAAAATGTAAAGGGAGCTTACATCAATAGATATAAACATTTCACCAAAGTTTCATGAGAATTGCTGACAGCATTTTTGAGTTATTGTCCAAAAACCGGAAAATCCCCCCTTTTTTAATAAATAAAACCCCATAACTCAGAAATGTAAAATGTAAAATTTATAAAATTCTATAGAGCTTACATCAATAGATATAAACAATTCACCAAAGTTTCATAAGAACTGCTGAAAGCATTTTTGAATTTTTGTCCAAAAACTGGAAAATCCCCCTTTTTTTATGAATAAAACCTTGTAACTTGGAAACGTAAAATCTAAAATTTATAAAAATCGAAAGGGAGCTCATGTCAATAGATATAAACAATTCACCACAATTTCTTGCAAGTTGGTGAAAGCATTCTTGAGTTATTGTTCAAAAACTGGAAAATCCCCCTTTTTTAATGAATAAAACCCCATTAATTGGAAATGTAAAATCTAAAATTTATAATAAAATGCTCCGCAGGGCGTAGCTTGATACGACCGCAGAGGTCGAACCCTGAACAGTTGGGGCAAGTATGGACACAACATTCAAGCTTGATACAGCTCTGAATTTGGATTGTGATTAAATATTTGACACAGCATAGGTTTCTGACACAGAATGAATGTGGTCTAAGAACTTAAAAATTTTAAATTGGACATTCACCTATTATGGTCCAATATCCAAAATCTAAATACATGGTTAGATTCAGCATATCAAAGAACCCCATATATTCAATTTTTGATGAAATCAAACAAAGTTTAATTTTGGACCCCGATTTGGACCAACTTGAAAACTGGGCCCATAATCAAAAATCTAAATACATGTTTAGATTCAGCATATCAAAGAACCCTAAAAATTAAATTTTTGTTAAAATCAAACTAAGTTTAATTTTGGACCCTTTGGACCTTAATGTAGACCAATTTGAAAACGGAACCAAAAATTAAGAATCTAAATACACGGTTAGATTCGGCATATCAAAGAACCCCAATAATTCAATTTTTGATGAAATCAAACAAAGTTAAATTTTGGACCCTTTTGACCTCAATGTGGACAAAGTTGATAACAGGGCCCAAAAATCAAAAATCTAAATACATGGTTAGATTCAGCATATCAAAGAACCCCATATATTCAATTTTTGTTGAAATCAAACAAAGTTTAATTTTGGACCCCGATTTGGACCAACTTGAAAACTGGGCCCATAATCAAAAATCTAAATACATGTTTAGATTCAGCATATCAAAGAACCCTAAAAATTCAATTTTTGTTAAAATCAAACTAAGTTTAATTTTGGACCCTTTGGACCTTAATGTAGACCAATTTGAAAACGGAACCAAAAATTAAGAATCTAAATACACGGTCAGATTCGGCATATCAAAGAACCCCAATAATTCAATTTTTGATGAAATCAAACAAAGTTAAATTTTGGACCCTTTTGACCTCAATGTGGACAAAGTTGATAACAGGGCCCAAAAATCAAAAATCTAAATACATGGTTAGATTCAGCATATCAAAGAACCCCATATATTCAATTTTTGTTGAAATCAAACAAAGTTTAATTTTGGACCCCGATTTGGACCAACTTGAAAACTGGGCCCATAATCAAAAATCTAAATACATGTTTAGATTCAGCATATCAAAGAACCCTAAAAATTCAATTTTTGTTAAAATCAAACTAAGTTTAATTTTGGACCCTTTGGACCTTAATGTAGACCAATTTGAAAACGGAACCAAAAATTAAGAATCTAAATACACGGTTAGATTCAGCATATCAAAGAACCCCAATAATTCAATTTTTGATGAAATCAAACAAAGTTAAATTTTGGACTCTTTGGACCTCAATGTGGACCAATTTAAAAACGGGGCCCAAAATCCAAAAACTTAATACACGGTTAGATTCAGCATATTAAAGAACCCCAAGAATTCAAGAATAAAACCCCATTGAAATTGATCAAGAAATAAGCAATTTATACGAAGTATCTTCTTTTGCACAATACTGTGCAATTGAATATTTCTTGCTATTGCGCAATACTGTACAATTGACAATTTCTTGCTATTGCGCAATATTGTGCTATTGGATATTTCTTGCTATTGCGCAATACTGTGCAATTGAAGATTTCTTGCTATTGCGCAATACTGTGCAATTGAAGATTTCTTGCTATTGTGCAATACTGTGCAATTGAAAATTTCTTGCTATTGCACAATACTTATTAGATAATAATTTACACATCCTGTTTGGTGTGTATCTCCTACCATATCATTATTATTTGCTTTTAAATATTAATCAGAAATAACCAACTTAAAATGGAAAATTTTAAAAGAAAAAAAAAAGGAAAAAAAGAAAAAAAAAAAATCCCCCCCCAAATTTTTTGAACCCCCTTATGATTCATCACCCCCAAACTCAATCCCAGCCTTCCCTTTGTGGTATGGTACCTTGCAGTACAATTTCAGAGAGATCCATACACTTGAACACAAGTTATTGTCTGGAAACTAGAAAAATGCTTATTTTTGGCCCCTTTTTGGCCCCCAATTCCTAAACGTTTCGGACAATTACCCCCAAATTCAATTCCAGCTTTCCCTTTGTGATATGGAACCTTGTAGTACAATTTCAGAAATATCCAAACACTTACACACAAGTTATTGTCATGAAACTAGAAAAATGCTTGTTTTTTGCCCCTTTTTTGGCCCCTAATTCCTAAAATTTTGAGGCAATTACCCCCAAAATCAATTACAGCCTTTCCTTTGTGATATGGAACCTTGTGGTACAATGTCAGAGATCCATACACTTACACACAAGTTATTGTCTGGAAGTTACAAAAATGCTTATTTTTGGCCCCTTTTTGGCCCCTAATTCCTTAACTGTTGGTACCATAACCCCCAAAATCAATCCCAACCTTCCTTTCGTGGTATTGAACCTTATGGTAAAATTTCATGGAGATCCATTTACTTAAACTAAAGTTAGAGTGCGAAAACCAATGTGTCTTCGGACGACGCCGGACGACGCCAGACGACGACGCCGGACGACGACGACGCCAACGTCATACCAATATACGACCAAAATATTTTTAATTTTTGCGGTCGTATAAAAAACGAAAGGGAGCTCACGTCAATAGATATAAACAATTCACCAAAGTTTTATGCAAATTGGTTAAAGCGTTTTTGAGCTTATGTCTTACATGTTGACGACGGACAACGGTATACCATAATACGTCCCGTAAACGGGCGTATAAAAACATATGCTGATGCACCAAATTTATAAAGTGTTATTTTCAGTTGACAAAAATAACAAGAAAATCACAGGACATTCTAGTCCAGAATATTATCCCCATGGTAACTGCTCCCTTCATGAAACTATTTTATACCTTACTTCATTTGCCAAACTGTCTGTACTTTATAACATTTTAACACTACATCTTTTAGTTATAGGATAATTTTTATTTGTTAATGCTTAAATATTTTCATACAAAATTTAAACTGTGCAACTTAAAGCTAAGGTATTGTAGTGAATGTTTTAATCTACAATCAATTATGCAATTGGTATTTTAAAGTTTTTACAAATAAGAAAACAACTTGATTTCACCTACATGTGTAGAGTCATGTATTACTGACTGCTTTCATTGTTAGACACTTGTTTAATACTTGTAAAGTTGTACATGCTGTATCACAATGTTAACATGGTTAATGTAAATGTCACAATGGAATACAAAGTAAAATAAAAGTTTATTGATTATATAAAGTTATGAAGCAAATTCAGGATATATTAAACTTGTATTACATTTGAAACTAGTAACATGACAAATCTGTATAAAAGTTGCTCAACATTTTTCCTGAAGCAATTAAAATACTTGAATGATTGAAATAGATCAGGAAACATTGTGAGGAAACAGATATCAATCATGATTAGTCAAGGTAGATCGACCTATCATATATCACACTATAATGATGGATAGATATAAATGAATGAGGTCATGAAAATTATTATTACATACATATATGTACACCCAAGGATGTTCATAGCTTACTTAGTATGTAGGTCCTTGGTAAACTATATATAATAGTGTTATGTAACTTTGTCTGAGATATATCCTCAATTATATTACTGGTACATTGAAGAAATATAGTAAGAGAAGCTATTAACAAGCTCATTATTTTTTTTTATTAATTTACCTATTAATATATTTATTGGTCTATTTGTTATTGCTATATTAATATGTTTTGGAGGAGGGGGTCTGCAGATTTACAAAGATTACATGTTCAACATCTACACCATGCCGTTTAGGTTAAAAGGAAGTAAATAAATATGAAGGGACCCCCTAGTTTTTACCTCAAGATAATAGCTAGAAGTAAATCTATTTTCTGCTGCCCTGTTGTTAATTAGAAAAAAAAATTAAAATAGTGAGAAATGAATGTGGGCTATAGGTGTAGTTTTGGAGGAAACTCTTTATGATGGGCAAAACTTTGTGTGCAACATTACGGGTGTTCTTCGTTCATACCATTTTAAAAATTCAAGAACCATAAAGAATTAAAAAACGAAATTTTTTAATAAAAAAAGCTTTGGCACTGTATGTGTTTTGTAGTTTTATTCACACCCAAAGGTGTTGAAAATTCAGAATTTGACAGTTTTTTCAACTGCATGATTTTATTTTTAGTGAAAATGCAGAACCCAAAAAGACTACCATTGTTGCCTATGTAAATAATTACTTCATTGGTACCTAAAATACCAAACATAAATCAACAGTACATAGTGAATAGTCAATCGTTTGTCATTGATGTGGAGTGTTTTTCATCCACAGGTTTACATTTCAGTATATAAATGTTGGTGTATCTGTGTCTGAATTTATGTAGACTTTTATTAATACAAATATGAGACTAGGTGAATATTACAATAATCAGAACTTGCATTCTGATATGTGATACATATTATTGTATGCAGATTTTCCTGAAATTGCAATAATTAATCTTGAAATTTCATTGGTCATGTTGAAATTGCATTAAGTAATGCTGGCAATAATTTCACCGTATTTAGTTCAGCTGATTGTATTTAATGGTAAACTTATGGGAAAAAATGTTTTACAGTAATGGAAGTCACAGAAGCAATCTTTACAACTAGGAAAGGAAAATACTATGTACTGTCCTCCCTCAACCCTGGCATCCATGGGTGGTACACTCCCTCCTTACCTACATGTACCTCTATTGTTAAACTTATGTTGACAGTGAAATAAAACCAAGTGACTGAGCAGTTTATACAGAGTACTGTCCCCTCTCAATCCTACCATACATTGGTGGGTATACTCCCTCCGCACCTATCTCTATTGTTAAACTTATGTCGACAGTGAAATAAAACCAAGTGACTGAGTAGTTATATACAGTGTACTCTCCTCTCTCAACCCTACCATACATGGGTGGTACGCTCCCTCCACACCTATCTCTATTGTTAAACTTATGTTGACAGTGATATAAAACCGAGTGACTGAGCAGTTTATACATAGAAGATAATAGTTCTGTCTTTAACATTATAAACAGATTTTCCTTTGTAAAGAGATTAGACGTAACTTTCTTATCTAAAGGTTTGATTTGTAGTGTACAAAGGGTAGTAGAAACCTGACAATATCTCTCAAGTACTACAAAATGTATAGTCTATATGTAGTCCTTTCCCCATGAAAACAATTTTTTCACAATCGGTTGGGAAATGTGAAAATAGTGAAAAAATTAGAGAAACATTTATCTGCAATACCTATACAGGGATCTCCATGACCTGTTTTATGATGGTGCACCGCGATCGTTAAATTATCTTCCGCCACAGTCAAATGATCCCCGCAATGTAATTGCATAACCCTTATTGTATTATAATCCAAAGGGTCCTCCTGATTACAGTTTAAACCCCTGAAGGATTTCTGGCTAAAGATCGCTCATCACTTGTACAGGTAGATTGACACACCTGACAGGAGATCACTTGATCAAGCTAGACGATTTATTGCATTATTTAATTACGGTTACGTTTCAGCAAATAGTGATGAAAATTTAGATTAAAAAATTTTAAATCCAGTTACGAAGGAAAAAGTTTAACAAGTTGAACTCGTGCTTTTATATTGACTTACGCAATCAGCATCATCCTTTTCAAAAGAGTACAAAATAAGATGTAAAACAGAACATAATTCCATGCCAAATAACATGAGTACAACAATTATCGACAATATTGAATCACTTTACAGGTTTGAAAGTAAATACATGAATATTAACTGCAACTTGATAAGTTGAAGAAATTTCGTATCGTAATTCCAAATTCATTTCATAGTTTACAATCAAATTAATACATCCAGTTTACATTCAGAATCGAAAGATGCATGCTGCATAGTCTATTACTATGAAATTTACAATTTAAAGTCATTCAAACCATTTAAGTTGTAATCATTTGCCCTCCAAATCTTTCTTCAACGTTTTACAAAAACGGGTACGAAAGTTCTTGTTGTTGATGCTGCAAACGTAGATACCAGTTCACAACTTCTGAATTTGATAGTGAAAAAAAGATCCCCCCATTTTCAAGTCCTAAACAATTACCAACAATAGCTAGAAAACGACTTGGGAACCTAAAGAATAGCTTGTGGTCATTCTTGATTAAGGGAGAGCCAAACAGGCTTGACATTGGAATTATGACAAATGACAATTAATGAAAATATTAGTTATTTTATAATGAAATAAATATAGTAAGCAATATATCAGTCTGTTCACCATTCCTTACATAAAAATGGAGGAATGTGCAGTAGACATGGGGTTTTGTCATGGTGAAAGTTCCTCCATGGAGATCCCTGACCTATATAGTCATAAACTCATGATCAATGAATCATTAAATTTCTTCTTCAATTACAAAGGTAGTAGAAACCTTAGTCAATTACCTAGTTATTTAAATTTGACACTGCTTTTTGGGGGTTATCAGGATAACTAATTCTAAAGGTTCCTTTGGTGCTATGAAGAATAAACCTCTCTGTTGTACATATAGCTCTTACCTCATTATCTAACATTGTATACAGTTCTTCTTTGGTAATAGATAATCTCTCTCTATAGCTCTTACCTCATTATCTAACATTGTATACAGTTCTTCTTTGGTAATAGATAATCTCTCTCTATAGCTCTTACCTCATTATTTAACATTTTATACAGTTCTTCTTTGGTAATAGATAATCTCTCTCTACAGCTCTTACCTCATTATCTAACATTTTATACAGTTCTTCTTTGGTAATAGGTAATCTCTCTCTTTAGCTCTTACCTCATTATTTAACATTTTATACAGTTCTTCTTTGGTAATAGATAACCTCTCTCTACAGCTCTTACCTCATTATCTAACATTTTATACAGTTCTTCTTTGGTAATAGATAACCTCTCTCTACAGCTCTTACCTCATTATCTAACATTTTATACAGTTCTTCTTTGGTAATAGATAATCTCTCTATATAGCTCTTACCTCATTATTTAACATTTTATACAGTTCTTCTTTGGTAATAGATAATCTTTCTCTATCAGTACTATCAATAACCATGATCACATACTGAAATGAGCAAAAATCCAAATTTCAATCAAGTGGCATTAATATCCTTACATTCAACAATTGTAAGTAGAAGGACCTTTCTATAGACTTTGCACCAGAATTCATTCAATTTCACTACTGTAACATTTCATGTATTATAAGCATGTTGTTATGGAGCTACCATTGATTGCTACATACTCCTACGGATTTCTTTTCCCATAAAGCTGAATATTGTCTATGGATTTTAAAGTTATAAATGTGGGTAGTGATTTCAGCAAAGAACTTTACAATGATGGAGCACTCCATCCTTCATATTTTTACCACCATACTTTTTAAAAATTTCATTTGTAGTTCCTTCGTAAAAACCTTAGTACAAATCATGCTTCAATATCTGGAGCAACCATGCTTATTTCTTTTCATCATCCTTCATAGTTTTTGTCAAGAAAACACTGGTATGTTAAGTTTTTGCCTAGAAAACACTGCTACATTAGGTTTTTGCCTAGAAAACACTGCTACATTAGGTTTTTGCCAAGAAAACACTGCTACATTAGGTTTTTGCCTAGAAAACACTGCTACATTAGGTTTTTGCCAAGAAAACACTGCTACATTAGGTTTTTGCCAAGAAAACACTGCTACATTAGGTTTTTGCCAAGAAAACACAGCTTTATAACGTTTTTGCCAAGAAAGCACTGCTGTTTTAGCTTAGCAAAAACATATTTTTATTGTTGTGAAAAAGTAAGACTGAATCTGTACTGACAATTATATTCAGTGTTTAAAGAGAGCAAATTAATGTGAGCTAAATGTAATAATAAAACTTTTGGACATAGGGCAAGCTAGTAAACAATAGAAATATAATAACATACATACACCTATCCATTATATTATAACCTACCTGTACATTACTGTAATAAGAATTCCATGAGGTACGCAGGTTTTCTTGACCACCAATATCCCACATTAAAAAGTGAATATTCTTCCACACAACCTCCTCCACATTACTCCCTATTGTTGGTGATGTGTGTACAACCTCATTCATTAAACTACAACAAAAATAATAATATACCACTTACTACATGTACACAGATACATGTATGTAGGTTTAAATATACTGGCAAATAATAAGAAAAAAAAAAGGAGATAGAGGTAAACATGAAAAAAAAGACAGCAACGTTAATCCAACCACACCAAAAGACATCTAAATGTTAACACATTTATCTTCTTCAACAATAGAATAGAGAAGTATATATCTATGAGGGTGTGGATGGGGTTTTACAGAATAAAGAATAATGGGCAAAAGGTATAAAGAATAGAGAATCAAAGCACGAAAGCGCTGTAAAGGCAGTTAATTACAGGTTGTGTGTATGTTTAGTCCAGTTATATCATTATCTTGCATAGTACAGTGTACTTATCAGAGGTGGCTTTCAGTATTTAAGATTTAGAGTTCTCTAATGATATTGAACAAGTTATATGAATGTCATATTCTGAGCACTATATGAAGGTGATTGTTCTCACTAAGTCTTGTTTATGAACTAGTGCATTATGTCCAGTTTGTACCTTTTTTTATCTATGTTTATAGTCAAATAAGTTATCAAAGGTACCAGGATTATAATTAAATACGCCAGACGCGCGTTTCGTCTACATAAGACTCATCAGTGACGCTCAGATCAAAATAGTTATAAAGCCAAACAAGTACAAAGTTGAAGAGCATTGAGGACCCAAAATTCCAAAAAGTTGTGCCAAATACGGCTAAGGTAATCTATTCCTTGGATAAGAAAATCCTTAGTTTTTCGAAAAATTCAAAGTTTTGTAACAGGAAATTTATAAAAATGACCATATAATTGATATTCATGTCAACACCGAAGTGCTGACTACTGGGCTGGTGATACCCTCGGGGACGAAACGTCCACCAGCAGTTGCATCGACCCAGTGGTGTAAATAGTTATCAAAGGTACCAGGGTTATAATTTAATATGCCAGACGCGCGTTTCGTCTACATAAGACTCATCAGTGACGCTCAGATCAAAATAGTTATAAAGCCAAACAAGTACAAAGTTGAAGAGCATTGAGGACCCAAAATTCCAAAAAGTTGTGCCAAATACGGCTAAGGTAATCTATTCCTTGGATAAGAAAATCCTTAGTTTTTCGAAAAGTTCAAAGTTTTGTAACAGGAAGTTTATAAAAATGACCATATAATTGATATTCAAATACTGTTTAAAATAGTTAGGCATTTTCTTTTTAGTAATAAGTAAATGTTATCAACTGTATTTTATTCAACTCTGCAAATGTGGTTTGTTACTGTTAAGTATGGATGATAGTTGTTTCATTGGCAATCATAACACATCTCCTTATTTATATAATGATCTCTATTCAACGACCTCAGGTACAAAACAAATGTATGTAACTTAACTATGATGGGAAACCTTTGACTTCTTTCTTTTATATAAACTTTTGATTTGGTACCATAGAACTATGTAGAATAAATGTACATTGCAACATGTCAACTCTTTCAATGACAATACTTTTTTTAGAAACTATAACTCCAAGCAAAATTATATTTCCAAATTTAAAGTAATTTATGAATGAAAAAAGGAGTTCTTAATTAAGAAATAAACTGATTCGCTGAGCGCAGCTGGATACACCCGCAGAGGTCCAACCCTGAACAGTTGGGGCAAAAATGGACACAATATTCAAGCTTGATACAGGTCTGAATTTGGATTGTAATTAAATATTTGACATATTATAGTTTCTGAATAAATGTAGTCAAAGAACTTGAAATCGGTTATATGAATTGAATTTATATTCAATTAAAGATTTCTTGCTGTTGTGCAATACACTGTGCTGTTGCGAAATACTTAATAAATCTGTTGCCAGACTATAAACAAATAAAGTTCAATTTCTTCTCAATGTCATATTTGAAATTTATGAAAATCTATAGGGAGATTACATCAATAGCTATAAATAATTCACCAAAGTTTCATGCGAACTGCTTAAAGCATTTTTGAGTTGTTGTCCAACAAGAGTGCACACGCTGAAATGTCTCGCCTTCTTTACTAATCACTGATATTATGTTGATAGTCCTTAATATAAAGCTTTATTACAACTGTCACATAAACTTAACATTAACCAAGAAAACTAAACATTGACCAATGAACCATGAAAATGAGGTCAAGGTCAGATGAACCATGCCAGGCAGGCATGTACAGCTAACAATTCTTCCATACAACAAATATAGTTGACCTATTGCTTATAGTTTAAGAAAAACAGACCAAAACACAAAAACTTAACACTGAGCAATGAACTGTGAAAATGAGGTCAAGGTCAAATAAAACCTGCGCGACTGACATATAGATCATAAAATATTTCCATACACCAAATATAGTTGACCTATTGCATATAGTATTAGAAAAAAAGACCAAAACTCAAAATCTTAACTTTGACCACTGAACCATGAAAATGAGGTCAAGGTCAAATGAGACCTGCCAGCCAGACATGTACACCTTACAATCATTCCATACACCAAATATAGTAGACCTATTGCATACAGTATAAGAAAAACAGACCAAAACACAAAAACTTAACTATAACCACTGAACCATGAAAATGAGGTCAAGGTCAGATGACACCTGCCAGTTGGACATGTACGCCTTACAGTCCTTCCATACACCGAATTTACTTGACCTATTGCTTATAGTATTTGAGATATGGACTTGACCACCAAAACTTAACCTTGTTCACTGATCCATGAAATGAGGTCGAGGTCAAGTGAAAACTGTCTGACGGGCATGAGGACCTTGCAAGGTACGCACATCCCAAATATAGTTATCCTACTACTTATAATAAGAGAGAATTTAACATTACAAAAAATGTTAACTTTTTTTTCAAGTAGTCACTGAACCATGAAAATGAGGTCAAGGACATTGGACATGTGGCTGACGGAAACTTCGTAGCATGAGGCATCTATATACAAATTATGAAGCATCCAGGTCTTCCACCTTCTAAAATATAAAGCTTTTAAGAAGTTAGCTAACGCCGCCGCCACATCACTATACCTATGTCTAGCTTTCTGCGACAAAAGTCGCAGGCTCGACAAAAACTGGAAAATCCCCCCTTTTTTAATGAATAAAACCCCACAACTCAGAAATGTAAAATCCAAAATTTATAAAATTCTAAAGGGAGCTTATGGATTGATAATTTAGTCTTAGATGCAAGATTTTTTTATCAGTTGTTAGTGGCTTTGAACTAGCTGTCAGTAACTGTGAGTACTCTCAGATCTGTACTTAGTGTCTTTTTGTTGTTTGGATGTACAACTACCCGACCACGTCCACTTGTATTTGTATTTATCCATCTGATGAGTTAAGCCTCTTTCAACTGATTTTTATAGTTCGTTCTTATATTGTACTGTTACACCACTGTCCCAGGTTAGGGGGAGGGTTGGGATCCCGCTAACATGTTTAACCCCGACACATTCTGTATGTACATGTATGTGCCTGTCCCAAGTCAGGAGCCTGTAATTCAGTGGTTGTTGTTTGTTTATGTGTTGCATATTTGTTATATTCGTTCATTTTTTGTACATAAATTAGGCCGTTAGTTTTCTTGTTTAAATTGTTTTATATTGTCATTTCGGGGCCTTTTATAGCTGACTGCGGTATGGGCTTTGTTCATTGTTGAAGGCCGTACTGTGACCTATAGCTGTTAATTTCTGTGTCATTTGGTCTCTTGTGGAGAGTTGTCTCATTGGCAATCATACCACATCTTCTTTTTTATATTTACATCAACAGATATAAACAATTCACCAAAGTCAAGGTGAGACAACAAAACTTAGTGGTAAGATCTCTGAAATTTTTTACACGGTACAAGTTTTTCTCATTGTTGGAGATTGTACGGTGACAGTAACACCTGTAACTGCTTAAACCCATTTCTTATGCACTTTAGTTCGATAAACTCACTGAATATCATACCACATCTCCTTATTTTTATATGCATTACAATTTACATGTGCATGTAATTATAAATATATATATATCAGAACAAATTTCATTGCGTCACTTTTATTTATGCATCCTTTGGCACAATACAAGTTCTTAAATTACACAACATAAAACAACTAAATGTTATTTCAGATGAAAGTATTGTTTCAGTTCCTTTCATAGGATTTATTAGAATTTTGTATGTTTTGCCAAGTCCAATAATTCGCTCTATGTGCACATGTTAATTGGAGACTTTTCTATCCCGTATAAGAGTTTTGGAACTAATTCTGGTTTTTTTTTTTTTAAAGTTAGCAAACAAATCTTGCACATTTAAACCTTTGTTACTGTAGCCATCGTAGAGCAGTGGAATATAACGACTGAATTATTCGGGTTACTGAAATAGTTGCACAGTGCAGAAACCAGAAGTTGAGGAACAGGATCGGCTACCACGGCGCCACCTATTCAGGAACGATAATTTGCTACTTTATATAACTGCGAAATAACAATAAAGTTAGACGGGTTCACGTGCATAAACAGAAATGCGCTTTAAATTGTATAATATAATTCATGTTCAGTCGACCTTTAATTATTATATCAACGACTGAAATGATTTATAAACATATAGATTGCAGATAACACTCGAAATTAACCCGAGCTCTTACCACACGGAATTCAAATAATTCTAGTTTGTCAATCGGTTGACTGCTTATAATGCAAAATACAAAAATATCAAAAGTTTTTAAAACTAACAAAACACAATGATCGTTTCTCTATTTCCCAATGTAAATGAAATGAAACAAAAAACATTTTATATCACAATAAGAAGAGGAGAGAATTCAACATTTCCGGATCTACTTGGAGCCTAATGACCCCCCACGTAGATAAGTTGGATATCGCGGAAGGAAGGATTAACCCGGCAACCAGAAAGGCATTAAAGCACTGCCTTTAAAAATGGCCTAAAAAATTAAAGAATAGAGAAATGAAGAACCCCATCTAGATGTATGCAATATAATCAAACATAAACTCTGTCAATTTCCTAATTTCATGGTCAAACTCATAGTTTTGCTACAGGGTTGGTGTCTGTTAAAATGTTTAAACCCGCTGCATTTTTATGCACCTGTCCTCGGTCAGGAGCCTGTTGTTCAGTGGTTGTTGTTTGTTGGTGTGGTTCATAGGCGTTTCTCGTTTTTTGTATAAATCAGACTGTTGGTTTTCCTGTTTGAATTGTTTTACACTAGTCATTTTGGGGCCCTTTATAGCTTGCTGTTTTGTGTGAGCCAAGGCTCTGTGTTGAAGGCCGTATTTTGACCTACAATTGTTAACTTTTTATACATTGTGACTTGGATGGAGAGTTGTCTCATTGACACTCATACCACATCTTATTAATTTTTTCTGTGCTTACCAGATATTACAGATAATTTGATATAATGATATGGAATGGTCATATTTTTTTTACTGTCAAATAATAATTATAAGGTCCAATCTAATAATTATTTGATCATAGATAAAAAAAATGTTCATGTGTAGTTTCGCTATCTTATAATTATAGGCCTTTACACAAGTTGTCTGTTTGTCAAATCAATGTTGAAGCTAGAGACTATTTTTATCATGTAGGAATAAGAATAAGAATATTCATTTTTCCAATTAAGGCCCCATGATGGGCAGCATATACATGACATTTATCATGTTTATACACACAAAAATAATACACTATCACTGACTATAATTTTGTAAAAAAAACAACAAAAAAATTACATTGAAATTGAAAGGAAATGAAAGTATTGCATTCACATTTTTAAGGAACTATCAAAATTAAATCATGCCATGGTAAAAGAAGCACCTCTATATAAATTCTTTTCATATATTTATATTGCTTCCTGATCTTTATGGGTTACATGTGCAATTCACAGTATAGACATTATAGTGATTGGTCTATCTACACCTAAATATGACAGCAGCAAATACATTGTCCATGTACTTTTATAACAAATGGATAGATTAACTATAATTTGACATATGTATATTATTATTGTACTTACAACTGATATAAAATAGTTGTTTTTCCAGCATTATCTAAACCAACTATGATAACTTTATGTTCTGAAAAGAAATGAAATACAATGTATGTTTCATGTAAAATTTGATCAGGATTACATTTTGTATATGTTCATGATGTTGTGTATATTATCATTATTATAATTCATAAAGTTTCCAAATACATGTACAAATCAAATTAAATTAAGTTGCTTATAAAATAAATGGGGAATGTGTCCATGGGACACAGATGATGCCCCCACTTCCATATCATATAAAGTTATAAAGGGACATAACTGAAGAACGGTAAAAGTGACCCTACCCAAATTTGTACTTGATCTGAGTTTTGTGGTAATAAGAATTGTGTATAAGTTTCATAAAATTTGGTTGAGGCTAACTTAAGTTAGAGAACAGAAACGAAAAATTCAGCAATTTTTCCATTTGTAAAGGGGCATAACTCTAGAACAGTAAAAGTTACACCACCAAAGGCAGCAAATACTGCAAAGAAAAAACATTTTTTTAACTTGCTCAATTTTGCTTTTGGAATTATTAAAGAGTATTTTGTACAATGTAAATTCAAATGTATATGCACATGTTAAAAATCAAGCTTCACGGTCTTATTAAGATATTTAATATATGCGTGAATGTTCTTAATCTATTTTAAGTAAAGTTCTTTCTGCCAAAAGACTGAAAATAGCACCCTAGAGAATGTTTTTGACCAGTCTCAGGAGCAGATCCACTCAAAAATACATACATTGTATACACACATCCTAAATCTTAGGATTTTAGAGTTCAGAGCTGTTTTTCTGATTTGGCTGTCCACCTAAATCAGAAAAACATCTTTGCACTCAGGAGTCTAACTAACATGAGTCAATGCGTCTTGGAATCATGGAATCAGACTGGACTCATCATTTTCTGAACTATCTTTGCTACATATGCATTATGCTTTATTTTTCATAATGAATAAATTACAATGTATATGTGCATTTATGAGACCTAAAAATGCACATAAATGATACATGTAAAATGTACACGTGTCCCTCTTTACATTTCAACCAATGAAGTTCAGAACAAATGAACAAATCTGAAACTTAAAAAGTGAAGAAGCCCTGCACACACTAATATATATTTGGTGAACTGCAAAATCTGTTTGAAAACCTTAGTTTTGCATATATATTTATAAAATTTCACATCATAATAAAAATGTCATCATTTGTCACTGTACCAAGTTTCAAGGTGATGTGACTAAACTTACTACATGTACTAATACCAAAACTTTACTTACTACATGTACTAATACCAAAACTTGACTTACTACATGTACTTATACCAAAACTTTACTTACTACATGTACTAATACCAAAACTTTACTCTATAGCATTTGACTTTGTCAGTTTTGAAGGACTCCCCCTTTTTGAATTTCACTTGGAGTTAGGTATTTTTGTTTTATTTTTTTCCTGTATTGTTACTCTCATGACTTTGCGTTAAATATAAGGAAAGAGCATCATATGACTTTGTCACTTCCCACAAATTTGCTGTATCTGATTACCATAAGAATACTAGTTATAAAACAATGAAAATAAATTATGTATCATTAAAAAATTAGTCTAGTGCTTATTCAACATACGATTTTATAAGAAACAAAATGAGATCACTGCTGTGAGGAAACTCACCTGATCAATCATTCAGATTTTTGTATCTGATTAGCAAAGGAATCAGCAGTCTGTTTCACAAAAAAACTTACGACTAAGAGACTAAGATTAATCGTAAGTCATGAACAATTCAGTATACTTACAACCAATCTTAGTTGTAAGTTTCTATGAGAAATCGACTCCAGATACACAAGATTAATAATAAGCTAACTGTGTACATGTACATGTATCTTCATTGTCATGATTGTTTTCCATGAAAGGTATAAATCATTATATTTTAAATTTATCATAATACTTTAATGAAAAAATATTACATGAAGATAGCATTTCTTTGTTTACTCTGAAAATGATGTCATAATAAAATTCCTAAAAACAGGACCAACATCTGACACATTTCTGTAATTCATCAGTTACCTTTTTAATACAAATTACAACAATGTATGCTGGGAATTCTTTTTGCAGCTGGTAAAGTTTTATATATTGTCTTAACATTGATGGGCTGGCCTTGGTATACATTGTACAAAATGTATATCCAGAGACATACTGTGGATTCATTATTCGTTGGATAGTGGATACCAATTTTCGTGGATTTCGTGGTTATAGGTTAACCACGAAATTAAATGTTCAACGAATGGCAAATTTAATATAGGCTTGTATGCAGACATTGTCAAAAACCACGAAATTAAATATCAACAAACATGTAAGTTTTCCTAAATCCACGAAAATTGGTACCTACGAAAATAAATGAATCCATACAGTATACACATGTGGTATGTCTCAGGTACAAAGTATATCTTACTGTAGTTTTAATTTGCAAAATTCAGTATTTCTAAATAATTAGTTATATACAAACTTAGTCCTCAAAGTTCACACATAACACCTGCCTCATATTAACAAACTTCTGTTATGTTATTATTTACATGTACATGACAAAGTATGCAAGCAGATCATATAAACATTTGAATGATTCTGAGAGTCACTCTCATCTTAAATTATTTACTTAAATATTCGTGTACAGTGGTGTTAGAAACCAAAACTGAAACAAAATTATATCCTAAAGTTTAAACAAGAGATAAATATAAATTCTTTAATGTGAAAACCACATTGTCTAAAATAACGTATATAATGTTTGTTAACCTACCTTCGTTGGTGAATAAACTCCACAGCCTTGAAAATAATAAACCCATAATCTGAAAAATTAAGTACTCTGTGGAAGATTTTCAATTATGAAGAATCACATCAATCACCCTTCTTCTCTGTGACTTTCCATTTGCTAAAATACATTTAAGAAAACCCCAAATTATCCAAAAATATTTCGCTTTGTGTGTGAGTCAGTCTGTTGACACGAGACACCGGAAGTGCATGATTTAATTTTCCAATTTTGACGCAAGCGCTTCAATTCGAAAGTAGGTAATTCCGGATGAAATGAAAACATGTGTGGAAACACAGAAAAGTTGAAAATGTATAAACATCATAGATTACCTTTCTTTGAAAAGCAAAAATATTTACATATTCAAATAATTCATAGGCCTGTTTCACGGAAAAGGACCACCAAACACTAAAAACTTGAATAGGGTAACAAAACACAGGCATTAAACTTACACTACAGTAGGATACATAAACAAATTATACACATACGTAACCAACTTTTGAAAATCCCAATGGGGGGTTTAAGTGCGCGACAACAATTTCAAAGGTTACAATTCCTTGATGTGTTTTTTGCGTGTGCTGTTTTGTGGTATAGAAAAAGTGTCATATTAGTATCTCTGATGAGCTTACAAGACTTTTTCTTCTGTTTATTTGCATGGTTCTAGTTATTATATCAGTAGAAAAGATGAACATGTAGCTAGAATACCAGGATTTATTTTCTTGTGTAAGAATATTAGAGTGGGAGACCCATATTCGCCGCATAATTCGTTCATTTCCGCTTACATCCGACCTACATTCGAATATTTGGAACTTTTTATGAAGGTTTCAGAAATTTAACTATATGAAAAAAATGTTTGATAAAGAAATTATCTTCAAAACATTGGTTAATTGTTCTAAAAACGAACGCAAACTAAAGAGGAAATCAAGTTGTTCGTGTACTATGGGGGACACATTTTCGCCGCAATGTATGATATGACAATCCTCACTATCCTGGTATATTATAAAAACGAATGTTTGCAATTACATGAATAAGCTTCAGAGATCATTCCTATACGATTTTTCTCACAAATATTTACTTTAAGACTGCGCATGATTGCCATATAAATCTTACATAATTGCCAAAATCATTTAAAAACACCTGCGTATTTCTCAATATGTGCGAATAACCTTGGAAATGGGGTAAAGAGGAATATCAACAGTTGTAACATTACAAACAGCCTTTACCATCTATTTAGGCAAGTATTTGGTAAAGGCACACAAATTTTACAGAAAAAATAGCAAAACGGCGAAAATGTGTCCAAGGCGAATACGCCCCACCCACTCTAAATGATTGTTGACTTTTCCAATTTAAAATTTTGTACAAAGAAGGACATTTATTTGGTCCTTGTGAAAAATAAAAGAATAGTACATTGTACTTTAAATGATTTGGAAATTTAATTTAATACAAAAATGACAACTGTAGTGTATGATATGTTACAGCAAGTGTGATGTCAATAAGTTAGTGAATAAACTACTAATTATTATCTTTATGGTAGTACTGCGTCATTGAATTTTGTCAATCAGCCATCCCTTTATTCTTAAGCTTCTAAGAACCTCCTTGCAGAAGAAAATTCACCTGCCATGTTCACGATTTTACAATTCTGACTAACACACAATGGAATACAAAATTTAGCATGTCCCAAAAATCATGAGAGAAAACGTTTTTGATTTGCTTATTAATCTAATCATGAGAGACACAGACTTTGATTGGCTGATCACGATTGTCTTCCCTTGGGAACAGTTCAAAATCGGGAACAATAATTTTTTTTCATATAGATTTTCACAAAATTGTGTTTTAGAGCTTTTTTCACAATCGTGACAAGGGGTGAAAATCGTGTAGTACACGCCTAAATCGTGAAAGTTGGAAGGTATGTATACATGTACATTTTTTTTGTACCTAGACAATTGCTTGTGTAATAAAAACACCAAACCGTGCTCCATTTTGATATGGGGCAGATAATTGGTTTTTGACATGGATTTTGCATGTTAGTTTTTATACGACCGCAAAAAAAATTTGTGGTCGTATATTGGTATGACGTTGGCGTCGTCGTCGTCGTCGTCCGGCGTCGTCGTCCGAAGACACATTGGTAATCCAAATACAACGTTTTGGTTACTTCCCTTACACTGCTTTTAAATTATGTTTAAAGAAATGCATATTTATAAAGGAAGACCAGTAAAAATATCTGCAAATGTTGCATCTTTTTTTTTTACAAAAAAATCCATATGAAAGATTTGACACTATATTTTTAATTCTATTATAAAATAGATTAAGATAGCACTATGGTAAATTTAAATGGGTAATTATGGTTGCCAACTCCATTGGAAATTTGAATTGAGATTATGACCATATCTTGAGGGAAAGAATTTTTTGGGGGAAAAAAGGGGGGGGGATAAAAAGAAATTGTGGGGAGTCAATTTTTTCTCATTTCAGATTTCAGAAATTAAAAAGAATTATTGTTCAAATATTATTTTTTTTTCAAATTTCAAATATTGAAAAATTTCAAGAAGTAATCTTTAATTGCACAGTATCACGGGTAGTAACCTCGTCATATCGGGTGGCGTTTAGTACAGTGATTTTGTCATAGTTTGGTTAAGATGAACATGGTTGTGTTAAGTTACTTCCCCGAACGATTGCCTCAGTTCTATTCAAACGAGCAAATAAAAAGCAAATAAGATGTTTTAATTTGCATTGTTAGTCAAACGATCTACATTGGAATTGTTGTTTTCAAGAAACTAACGCAGAATAGGCAAACTATCGAAATTGCTATGGTTTGGTTAAGTTATGACATGGTTCGGTTAAGTGTCTAGAAATTCGTCATGGTTTTGATCAAGTTTGTCATGGTTTAGATCCAAGTTAATATATACGTGTTTCAGCTCAATATTGATAGTTTGTTTAAAAACACTTGTAATTAAACGAAGTTACACAATTTACCAACTGACTAAGAAGAAAAAAAGCCTTTTAAACCAAAATTATATGCGTTAATAGGCAGATTAGATTGACAAAGATTCTTTCCGCAATGAAAGAGAGTTTTCAGAAATACCGTGAAACTGTTTACTCGCGTAGTGGTATTAACCATATATGGATTTAAAAAAAAACTCTTAAAGAACTTCTGAATAAATGTAAATCTTGATATTTCTCAGAAATTAGTTCTATTAAAACGTTTAATTTTTCAACCCTGTGTATCACCATTCCCTATGTGTAATTGAATAATCGTCTAAAAGAAATAATTTAAATCTACATTGCTTTTCAAAATAAAAATGGTAGCACACGCTATACATTTATTACTTTTGGATACCATACGGCATATTTTGTTAATAGTGAACAAACAAATAAAACATGCTACACAGAGGAATAAGTGACCAGTATGATGGAGTTTCTTATTGACAAAATATTTGTTGAATTTGGAGGTAGACTTTTTCACTAAATTGTCGGTATTTCTATGGGAGCGAACTGTGCGGCAGCAACCTCTTCTTATCTTCATATTAGTCGGAGTTCCTTCAGACATTTGTAAAAAAAAAGAAGACCAAAAAAGCCAGATAATTTAATTTCACATTCATATATATCGTTCTTTCCAATAACAATCCTGACTTTTCTGGTTGAATTCCATTAATATATCCCCCAGAACTAGAAATTAAAGGAACAACAGACACGGCTTCCTCTGCCTCATTTTTAGACTTATACCTCGAGTTTAACATGAGCGGTCATCTTAGTATCAGAATCTATGACAAACGAGACGATTTTAATTTTAAAATTCTCAGTTTCTCCAATCTTAGTAGCAATATACCAACTTCTCCTACATATGGGATATACATTTCCCAACTCATTCGATATTCAAGAGCTTGCAGATGCTACTCAGACTTTGTAAACCGTCACCAGTGTCTGAGCAGAAAGTTGATGAACCAGTGGTATGTCAAAGAACGTCTCTTCCTTTTTCCAAAAAAGTTCATCGGAAGACCTTTAGTTGTGGGTAAATATTCCTTTTCAACTTCACAAATAATAAACGATGGTCTTTAAGTAAGGATTCTAAGTTCTGACGTTGTTTGTCATCTTAATGAAGTGTTATGGTACTCTTTTATTTATCTTTGTAAATTATTACTTTAACTGTTTAGTCTATTTTTGGCCCAATCCATTTGACGTGGCTCGGCACTTATACACCCCGTCATTGTGTTAATTTGCTATGATAAATTTTTGTATTTTTGTCTTTCGTTTTTGCTTATGTGCTTTGTCTATATGCCTTTTTGTTTTTCTTTGTTGAAATATTTGTTTTGTTTTTATAGTGATTAAGATGATAACACAATGTTGCCTGCTGTACCCTTATTTGTTGACATTTTTACCTATTATGTCTGTTTGTTTTGTTCACACATCGTTGTCAATATAATGGAATTTTATGCGACTGTCATACATGTGAGAGGTTAAGCTGGCTATAAAACCAGGTTTAATTCACCATTTTCTACAGAAAAAAATGTCTGTACCAAGTTAGGAATATAACAGTTGTTATCCATTCGTTTGATGTGTTTCAGTTTTTGATTTTGCCATTTGATTAGGGACTTTCCGTTTAGAATTTTCCTCGAAGTCTCGCATTTTTGTTATTTTGCTTTTATAATTTAAATAGACACTGCTCTTTTAAACTAACTTTTGAGATAATAATTACAAAAACAGAAAGCGCTGCTTCTGTTTCAAATAGATTATTTTCTACGTATGTCCATGATTGACTCTGTCGATGATATCGTGAGCGGCATCACTTGTAAAATTTGTAAAAACGTCTACTTCAAGTCGCAAAACGTATCAGCTAGTCAAAAAGTAATTTTTGTTCTACTTTTTTTCTACTAAACTATATATCTGTTGTTTTATTTTGAACCAGTCTATGATGAATAAAAGGAGATGTGGGGTTAGTTTCCCTACTACAAAACTAACCAAACAATATCAAGAGGACACAATAAGTCTTCAACTATCCACGAAACAAAATGTTAACGCGTGACATGGACAACAGTTAAAACTTATTTGTTTTATAAACTATTAGTAAAATTAAAATAAAAAAAAAAATACACACAAGTTCAGAATTTAAATATATGAAAAATCACAATTCCGAATTAGAATGAAGCCGATTTAATGTCCACTTTTATCAATTATTATTACGAACGAATAAAAATGATTATGTTTTTGTAATATTGTATAATACATTGGTTTTCTCATTTACATTTTATTTACATATAATTT